AGCCCTGTACCAGTAATAATGTAATTACAAATCAGAAAACAATTTCGCCAGGACATTCCATTGTTCGTCCGTTAATTTATAGTGTTGGTACAGATACGACACAAACATCAGTAGCAGCAGCAGCAGTAGCATCAGGAAAAGGGAACATAATTAACACAAGTACATATGTTTTTACGAGGCGCATCGCATACATCTGATATGGTATATACAGAATTTATATAGTTGCTGCTGTGGCCCAGAACGAGCTCATTATGCGCATTTCGTTTGGCATCATAAATAAACGCAATTTTGCTGTAAATTACAGATTAAAATGAAAACTAAAATGCAACTGGGCGTGGCCATGAAACCCGGAACCCAGCCACGATGCGGATGTGGGACAGGCGGAAGTTTGCATCGCTTTGGATCTCGAGACATAAATTACAAGTTCATTTTCATTTAATTGCACATTTGCGTACACAAAATCGTAAATTGCGCAACACCAGCACCTCCCCACCAATACAATGTGTGTGTGTGTCTGGAGAGGAAATGTGTATTTCAAATTATGATTTCTGCTTATAAAGTTGAACTCGTTTCAGGTTTCAACCTCAACGAGCTTTTCCTGGACTGGACCAAGTTAAGAATGCAAACAAATTTAAATATTAAATGCGTTGGGAGTGCCACTGGCAGTGCCGGACAAAGGTAAGAGCTGGGGCAGAGGCAGAGGGTGCCGTTGCCATAGATAGGTATTGTCCTTTCAGGAAGACAGGACATCTGCTCGGTTGTCGCTGGGACTTCCCTCGGAATTGCAGCAGCAGCCATGTCCAGAAGAGAACAGAAGTAACTAAAAACAAACTTTTGCCTCAAGTACACTTTGCTGTCTACCATTTTATTTTCTCCATCTTTTTGCCTTAGAAGTTTGTCTTGTTTTTCCAAATTGTTATTTTACTTTTTTTTTGGGGAGGGGGGTTTGGAGAAATTCCTCATCGCCTTTGGGTAGAGACTCGAACGATGCCAAAGTTTTCTCTTTTCCCATATTTATGGCAGTTCTTCTTGTTCCTGTTCTGTTCTTCTGGTTGCTGTTTACTGGGGGATATGGCTCTCTTCCGGTTATCAACTACAAAGCAGAATACAGCCCTGTGCGTGATCGGATCTTTGATTGCAACGCTCCCGTGACCTACCCTGTAGTTCCGGGCTTTTGTTTATATTGCGCTCGATGTATTTTCGAGTGTTTGTGTCGATTATCAGAAGCTCGTCTCTACAGGTATCTCACAGGGTAGAAAGAAACAACTCTGAAAGTGAAAAATGGACGCGAAAATGTTATGTAAAAGTAAAGTGTTAGATTTATGTGAAATATAACATACATTTGTAGTTGTTAAATAAGTTTTGATAGAGTTCTCGACATTTTCATTTAAGATATAACCCTTTTTTATACAAATATTGAATAGAATACTCTCCTGCTCTCATTAAATAAAGGCTTTACCAGTAAAAATTAAGTTTTCCTTAGTTTTCAGTACATTTTCAACACGTACTCACATTCTTTAACCCCGACCTCATAAAACTGCCTTTTCATTGTTGGCAGACATTCAACATTAGCTTTCAACATTTCTGCTTCTACTTTAGGATCACACACAAAGGAAAAAAAGGAAAACCAAAGACCATCAAAGCCCAAAAGCAAATACGAGACATAAACTTGGCAAACACCATGCGGCGTATACTTAATATCAGCAGCAGGGCCACGGACCACCAAACAGAACCAGAGCCACCACCACAGCCACAGGATCCTGAGCCAGAAACAGACCTAAGCCAGAACCCACCTATAAACGTCATCATAACCAAGCAAACAAGAAGAAGTAAGAATGAGAGGGAGAGGGAGAGCCTCCAAGATGGAAATGGAGAGGGAGAATGGGTGAGAAAAAGAACAGAGTCAGGCCCATCGAAATCATTATTTATGTAGGAAAAACTCCAAGCTCCTCCCTTTAAGCATCTGCAGACAATGGCCCTGGTGCCACCTCCCCTGCGTGTTCGTGGTGTTGTGATTTTTCGCCTCAGATTTTCCACGATTTTCTTCACACTTCGCTGTGAGCCCCTCGCGAGGGAGTTTGGTTAAGTGAAGCGCAACTTTTATGTGGGCCTGAATTATTAATAAACGTTAAAAGGCAACGCCAATTGTCGAGCCAGCCGTTGGACAGCTTCACTCCTCGCTTTAGCAAGTTTTCACCTGTTTTCCAAGAACTTTTTCCCTGGTCGTCACAAGGTTTTTCCCTCCCATTTTCCGCACTGTCTGCACTCTCATAGTGGAGTCGGTTGATGTTTTATGTGCTAAGTAGTTGGGTAAGTCACCTGCGACAAGTTGCCCGAAAGCTTATTGCTTTACTTTTCTTTCCTCTTTTTCCCACTGATTGTTCTTCTTCTTTTTCTGCTTCTGCTGCTGTTTCAATCTTCTTCTTTACATTTCCCATTTTGTCTGGGAACTTTTGATATCATTTGTCATCGCATTGTATGAGAAAGATGACTTCAAAGCCTGGCCAAAAAAAAAAAAAGATTTTCTTTCCAGGGCTGTTAATGTCAAAGTGCAAACATTAACACCGTGGAAAGAAAATTGTTGTTGAGGTATTAGGAGTGTTATGAGAGTTCTTAGTGGAAAATGGAGAGGGGCGATGATGTATAGAGAGAGAGTTTGAGGATGAAAAATGACAGCAAATAAAAGTTTTCTTTTGGGCAAAGAGATTGAAATAATGGGCAGGTGATCAATGGTAAGAAACACAACTATAAATAAGGATGGAAATTGTTGAAAATTGTTGGGAAAATGCCCATAAATAAAAGGGATCATTGGCTGCAGCTGATGCGTCAAAATATCACCCAATAAAACATAAATAAAATCTATTTCCACTGCATTTAGTTGAGATAGAAAAAATTCTATAAAATTCCTTTAGATAGCTAAATTTAATGCTCTCTTTTTATGAGTATTTTCCTGATTGAAGACAGGAAAATATAAATTTGAATTTCAGCTTATTGACAGTTTCCATTCGACTTGATTTAAAGTTTGAGTCTTCGAACAGAAACTCAACTTTGGAGGGCAGCCACGGCCGCTGTCAGTGCTCCAAAGTGATATAAAAATGCCTCACGTCTCATCAAGGGGAGGGGTGGGGCTGCTGGTTTTATGGCAGCTGTTGTCCTTGGGGAGGGCTGTCGAGGAAAAGCAAATGAAAGAATGCGATTTATTTTCGCATTGACAATCGTTTGATTTTCGTTGCGTTTTTCCGTTTTTACGAGTGGCTCGGGTGGGAGGAGGTTCTAAGCGGATGGTTTTTCACCCAGGTTCCCACCCTCCCCCCACACACCCAATTCTGGTTGGCAATTTCTTTGTCATTTCGAAATCGTTGTTGTTTCTCGGGTGTTTTCCTGCGTTGTTTTACTCGATTTTGCCATGTCCTTTGTTTTACTCGATTTTTCCCCATGTCCAAGCCCCCGCCATGTCCTTTGTTTTAGTTGTGCTCTCGCCACTCCTTTTGCTTCTGGAATTCCCTGTCCTTTGTTGCCACTTTTCCACTTTTCCAATGTTTCTGTTTGCTGCAGCTTTCAGCACATTGTCGTATCGTATCGGTGTGCTGCCAACGTGGCGAAAATGTTGAAAATATTGGTGGGGGGGCTGTGGCTGTGGCTGTGGAGTGAGGAACCATTGAGAGGCAGCTCGTAAAATGATTCGCACATATAATTGCTTTTGTTGTGTGGCACTCCTCTCACGTTGTTCCGCTGCGGATCTATTGCTATCCATCTATCCAAACACCCCCGTGGCAGCCCCCTAATAAACCATCCCTGCCTCTCCTCCCCTTTTGCCATTTGCCCTGGACCCGCTGAAATCATTCGTCAGGATTTATGCGAATGAGCGACAGTTTTTGCCATTCGTTTGCAATGCCATGAAAGGAACAACAATACGAGTGCCATCCTGCCACTAGGAGGAGGCACTGTATGGCAGGGGAAGGGCCCTGGCAGCATAAGCGATGAATGATGGTGTATCCGTATCTTGGCGCTAAAGTATCTTTGTATCCGCATGCAATGAGCAGAGTAGAGCGCGCGAGACCAAACCAAACAATTGCTGAATATATTTTACGCGTTTAGTTGCCTTCTCTTTCGAGGATAGTATGGCCCTCTCTATCCCTCTCTATCCCTCTCTCTCTCTCTCTTTTCTCTCTCTTTTTCTACTGGGGATTTCCCTACATCTCTGCTCTCTTTCTAGCGTTCTTTCTGTTGCTTTTTTCCTTCCTCTCTGTCTGTGAGTATATCCTTCATTGCTGTCTTCCTTTCCCATTCCTGTATTTTTTATTAATTCGTTTTATTTTCCTTCGCGTGACAAGTTGACATAAATGGACAAATTGAGCTTTTAAATTTGTGGAAGAGGATGGACCAGGATGGCAGGACATGGAACCAGACGACCAGAGGACCAGCGTATCAGGGGGAGCAACAGAGGACCAGGGGACTATGGGCAGGAGTCTGATCCGTGTAGGAGGACCAGCAGGAGCACTGGTATCTGAATCATAGCACAAGAGCCACCAAAGGACCAAAGGAGCACCATGAGCACCCATACACACAATATCCACCATCAAATAAATACAAATTGTTTTGCAAATAAAATTGATTACTCCGCAGCAAGAGGAGGGAGCAGGGAGGAGGGAACTGTGGAAGCTGTGCAGCAATATTTATTGGATTAACATAAACTGGAAATGCCAGAATTTATTGCCCTCCCAACTTTAGTTTGAGTTTCAGTTTCATTTTCATTTCCATCCAATTGCCATTTCCCATTTTCAGCTACCATTTTGGCCACACACAGTTATACCATGGCTTGCCCACAGCTGTGGCCGCCGCTGCTAATTATTTTTGGGGTCAGGTCCATTTTATGACCATTTAATCACGAACAAATCGAGGAATATTCGGAATGGCAGAATGGCAACTATTTCCATAAATCAGTGCACTTTATCTTTATCTGCACTGATCAATTTTAAAAATAAATAAACACTAAAAACTTGGCAGATAGGCGTTTATTTATGGCATCTGGCACTAGGAGATACGACACCAGTTCCCCAATTTGGACACACACTTGGTTACTGAGGAAACGCGACGTTTTTCTGTAGATGGTTGGGTCTCCATCGAGGGTCTAATAGGCGTCTGTACGGCCTGTTCCCTCTGGGCTGAAAACGCTGACTTCAGAAGACAGTAGGCACCATTCTCCATCCGGATAAAGCCGAAACGCACGGCCTCCTTAAGGGTCTGCTCTACTACCTCCGAAAGTCTATTTCGTTGCTCAGGATTGAACTGCAAAAGAAACCATAAAATTAACACATTTTCAAATACTGAGGATGGTATAGATCTCACATCATAGCGCTGCGTAAAGTGGTCCACTATCTCATCCAAGGTGGCAATTGTGTTCAGAGTCAGCAGAGCCCGAACCACCAGATGATCACTTTGATTGGACATGTTTAAATCAAAAATTATTGTGTTTCTTACAAGTATAATTTTCAAAAAAAAGTCTACAAATTTCGTTTACCAAAGAATATACTAGGATTTTTCCAATTGTGCGAAAAATCAGATAACAGCACAAACAGCTGAAAAACTAAACTAAAACAACTAACAAAGGGATTAGTGAAATACATATCATAGCCTTCTATGGGAGTTTTTCCAAATTGAGTAATTTGAACAACAAATCGAAAATGACAGATATCTGCATGGGAACGTGGGGATCAGCAGAACTCATAATTTTCTAGTATTATTTAAAAAATAAAAGAATAAAGCATATTTTTGTTTTTATTTCTATAAAATGCTTTTTGAATTGCATCGAATCGAAGAAAAACCATGAAATGTTATTCTACATAAGCTCTACATCTCAATGACATAACAGCTTACACCTGGTTCGTGTCACGACTAAGACATTCAGTAGAAAGTGTGTTTCCCCTTTCTTATATTCAGCATGTGTAGTATGGCTGTCTCTTTCTTTTAGCCAGTACTTGAACCGCGAAATATGTGGAGGGTGTGTGGAACTTGTGTGGCAGCTACTCCGCAACAGATGGCGGCAAAAGGCAAACATTTCTTAATAATTATTAATTAGTTATAATTAACTTAATGATTTGATAAGAGATTAATATCAACAAAAGGTCACATTAACACGATCAGTGAAGACAACGCATAGGACAATTTAAATTTTGTAAAACATTTTTAATGAAAGCTGTATTCAATAATATAGAGCTAATCATTAAGAAGAGATCAGACAAAAATATAAAATAGTTTTTCCTCTAAGTGCTTAAAAACTTAACTTTAATTTACAATATCTATCTATTGATTGGAAATTTAAATAAATTTAATTTTTAAAAATATCTTCAAATTCCACTGGAAAAAAACTTAGTTCAATTCAAGTAAAGTTTTTATGATGTTAAAAATTTTAAAAGCCATCAATATCTCGGAAAAACTTTTTTCATAGATTCATAGAATATTCAAGAATTTACTGTACTCATCGTAAACCCTCTGAATCTGTAGGCTTCTGTAGCTATTTTGTTTTTCTTCTTCGCTTAAGCAACTGAGACGGGGACTGCGGGCTAAGCGCCTGCACCCTAGTATTATTCTATTTTTTTTTAGTATGATCAACCCCCAATCCTCCAAATGATGCAACCCATCCAAAACAACCGAAGTTACATATATCCCTCTCGAGCAGAAACCTTCCCAGAAATCCTAGCAAAATGTTTCAAAATATCTTTGAAATGGCTAAAAACTTGGAACAAACCACAAAACACACACAAATCGAAAAAGCCTTCTTAGAACCAGAACCAGAACAAGAGCCACTCCCCCAAAAAAGAACCAACGCCAAAAGCGTAACATTTGTCAAAAAAATGTCACCAAAAAGTGTGTGGGGGGCGGGGGGAAGCGGAGGCATCTTCTTCCTTTATTTCTAATGCTACTTCAACTGCGAATAAGACGGAGAAGAGACAGGGAAGAGACAGGCGGCATGTCAACGAAATAATCAACAAAAGGACATAAAAAATCGTGGGGTCCAAGCGAGCGGCAGAAATTACATGGACGGCTATGTGAACGGAATAAAATTTCATCAGAAATGCTACTACTGTCAGAGAATTGCAAATGGTTGGAAATTGCTGGCTACTTTCATCTGTTCTGGGTTCTGTTTTTGGGGAGAGAACTTTCACTGGCACTCGAGGGTGGTGACGGCGTCGAGGGTTGGAGGGCTGGAGGGCTGTAGGGCTGGAGAGAGTGTGTGTGCAAAGAGGGATGAGGGTGCGAGCACACACTCTCACACATCATATATGATATGGGGGACTTACGGACCCTTCAGGCAAGGCCTGCCTGCCTGCCTGCCTGCTGTTGCTGCCACATCAAGGAGCTGTCAGTCGGAAGAACAAAGCACTCAGTAGCGCCACTAGGGCCAGGGCGGCCATGATGCTGATGCAAAGATGGGGGACGGGACTCTTGGACTCCTTGTCCCAAAAAGGAGACTGCCTTCCCCCAAAAGAGGACCCCAAAAAAAAAAGAAGAGAAGGTGTTGAAGGCCGTTCCACTTGCTTGAAATTGTAAAAAAAAGAAACTGTCTCTCTCTGTCTCTTTCTCGAAATCGAATAAAATTTCGTAGCGAAAAACCCAACGAAATGAAACGAACGAAAGGAAATGTCTGCAATGTGCAGCCTTGTGATTAATGATCGAATGTCAATTACCGCAGATACTTCGTACTCGCACTCGTAGTTTTGCTGCTGCTGCTGCCCCTGCCACGGCGTTGCAAAGAGCTCGACCAAAGAGCCAAATGGTAGGGGGAATATTAGGACACATTCTATATAGAGGTACAGAAATACCAAGAGAAGATCCCATTCCCCTTTTTGAGGGTCTGTAAATTTGTAACAATTTTAGTTGAATTATTCTGTGCCCAGATGCTTATATATAAAGGCAAACATTTTGGTTTAATATCACAGAAAAGAGTTCTTAAATTTCCTTATTAAAAACCTCTAAAGTTTGCTCATATTTCAGTGCCTAATCTTTGAGAATTTTTCGTCTAGTTCAAAGGTAGTTTTTAAGCATCTCATTTCCTCTAACTCTTTGACTCTTCGCAGCGGTAGTTCTGTAATCCAGTCTCATCCTCTTTCATCCCGGATTATCCCAACAGAAGTCAAGGGACACGGCTCAACCCTTTCTGGCTGTGCCAGCTCGTCCTTTGTGCCGCTGCCGCTCCTGGAAAGGACGAGACAAAACAAAACCATTAGCTGCGTCTACTGTTGCTAATTTCATTGGCTCGGATCGGCACATACATTTTTTTTGCATATCGGAATAGCGAAACGCCCACCAAAAACGCCCACGCGCAATGTCTGGCGGCGGCACAAGTGAAGGAAAGGGGATTATAAGGGGCCGAAAAAGGATTCTCTAGGAGGCAAAGGTTCTCCTGCTGCGAGGTTTGACTTCTTCTAATATACCATTTGATGAATGCCGAAGTGGGTTTTGCCAAGGTTCTGGCCAGAGGGCTACCGTTTTGTGATTCTGTGTCCTCTAGAATTCCACTGAAAACTGCCATCTAATTGTTTTTCACCTTGCCAATTAGTTGGCCATTTAATGGCGCTGTCAAAATAAACACTGAAATCAGAGTCAAACCGTTTTGAAGTGGCATCAATTCTCATCAAGTTTGTTGTTGAATTGGAAACAAATTTTCCGTGTGGCAGGAGCACACAAAAGAGATCCCGGGCATAAATCAATGTGGTAGTGCAGCCCAAGGCCAGAGTCACAATTATGTGCAACAATGCACCTCAAGTGTGGCCCTCGGCAGGAATCAATCAAGTCTCATCACTCAAGTCGTTCGTCCCCTTCCATTGTGTATATGCCCCTGCCCCTGCCCCTGCCCCGGCCCCTGCCGCTCGCTCTTCTTTCGATTTAATTAATGCCTGGCCATTTATTAAATTGGCAGCTTAGTCTCTCCTTCCATTTGCCACATCTTGTGGCAGGGAGCCTGCGGTTGGTCGTACTCCTCCGTCGTCCATCCTCCATTCTCCATCCTCCATTCTCCATCCTCCATTCTCCATCCTCCATTCTCCATCTACTGCCTGCCTCCCTGTGCGTGCAACCGATCCAGGCCTAATTTGTAACCATTAACCCATGTATTATGTTTGACCATGCGAGTGCCTCCTGCCTTCAGCCTGGTCCCGGCCTGGCCTGGCCTCCTTTTACCCCATACGATGGATGGATGGATGGTCGGTCGGTTGGAGGATGGAATATAAATGGTCAGAGGAATGGCTGCGCTGAGTTTTGTCTATTAAAAATCATTTAGAACAAATACCCTACAGATTTTGTGGCCTCTTGAAAGGTGTGAGAGTCGTTTTCGAGGGTTTAATGGATTGATGGGAAGGGGTTCTAGGAAGGGTTCTGGCTTTAAAATTGTAGATCCGATCGAATTCTATTGATTTCTGACGGCTTTGGTGTGATTTTGGTGGAGTTTTCGTTGGTTTATGGCTACAGATATTTAGGTTTTTGGAAATTTAATGGTTTAGAATTCTTTTGGAATTATGTTTATATTTTTCTTTAGTTAATTCATTTGTTTTAACACCTCTTTATGATATTTTCTGTATCTATATTCTTTAACCGAAAAACTTGTCACAAATCCTGTCTGCGGTGGGTCCTCTTCCGAGGGCAAGTGACAACTGAAGCTACCGTTGGTCATAATTACGAGTGATATTCCAGAACCCGCGTACCCCATGCGCCCCACTCCGATCGCGACCCCCTCTCTTCTGTACTGCTATCCCTGTCAAAGTGTTAAATTATTTCCATAACACGTGCTCATGCTCTCGTAATCACTTTGAGCTGCTAATTTCAACAGGGGAGAACGCAATGTCAACTTTTTGCTGGTACTCATCCGCGTCCTCCTTGTATGGTCCTCCGTCTGGGTTTCAGGTCTCCTCTCCTCGTCTTCAGGCTCTTGTTTCGTTCCGGTCTATAAGTAGGTCTTAATCCTTTTATCGCTTGAGGCTTGAGGCTTGAGGCGAGTGTGCGGCGCGCAATTTCCAGTTCCAGTTTGGACTGGACTCCGAAGGAGCAGGAGACAGTGCTGATCATTTCGCAATGATAAATTAAGCGCTAAGAGTGTTTCCATGTACCCAGGCACGACAATCCACTGTCCAAGTCAGGGGTAGATTGATTGTGTCCCAACCGAGAGGGCACTGCTACTCCCGATCCCCTGGAGGAGTCGTCTCTCTGGTCATTGTCAACGAGGAGGAGTGCACGCCTGAATAACCACTAACAATTCGCAATAGGACCTCGATATTCGAGTGAAATGTGTGTGCAAAGACCAGTTTATCACCCCTTCAGGATCCCCATTCGCTATGCAATTCCTTGGGAGAGATGATTTCTTGTTGAACATATTTCCAGAAGCCAACAGGTGCCAATGGGCTGTGATCAATCATTGGACGAATCGATTTTTAATTAAGAACTCTTGTTAGCATTTGGCGACCCCGCCTGCCTGCCTGCCCCGTGCCTCCTTGC